CCATGAGGGACAGGCAGGTCTGAAAACCACATGAGGCAGAGAGAAGAGGTGGGTGGGGAAGTGGCCTGGAGCTGCTAAGCAGACTTGACAGACCTGAGGAATTGGTGGGGCTGGGAGAGAGAGGGAAGGGACTGGGGAGGGCCTCTCAGAGTTGGAGACATGAGAGAGAGAACAGCTCTGAGTAGCCACATATCCCAGGCTCTGGCATTGCCGGTGGTGGCTCGATGTGGAGGAACGGAAAACTGCAGTGAAGGTGCGATAATTTTTGGGGTGATCATCACATCCCAATTTCCTGTGGAGTAGTATTCTGCCCAGAGGAGGCTGAGAGGTGGTAGTAGGAGAGTTGGGTGGGTTGGGTGGACCAAAACCTTGCATGCCTGTTCTCCCCAGGTTGTCTAGGAGGGATAATCTAGAGCTTGCTGGTTGCAAGGTGTAGGCATGCTTTAGCCAGAGAGAAGGAAAGGCTTTCGACATGGATGGAGCCTCTGCTGTGTACATGAAGTTTGGGCTCTCTCTCTACATGTGAGATTGAGCTCAGGGACTCAGGGCTGCTGTGTCTCCAAGTAATGTTCCCATCCAGGCATTTTTATTTCTTGAGTCAATTTTACTAAGTTGCCCAAACTGTCATGGGACTTGCAGCCCTCCTGCCTCAGCCTCCTGAGTAGCTGAGATTCAGATGGTGTCACCGGCCTGGCTTGCTGGCCATATTTTAAGATGATGAAGCTGAGACTCTGAGAAGTGAGGTGCCTTGGGCTTGGTTCACATAGCGAGTAACAGAATCAGAACTCGGAGCCAAGTCTTCTGATGCCAAGATGAGACTCTCTGTGTGACTGTCACAGAGGTTAATACTATTGGATCTGTGAGGATTCTTAACTTAATGGCTAAATGTAAATAGTAGGGATGATAGTGCAAAGTTAATCCCAAAGGCTCAGATGGTGTCTCTCCCAGCCGATCCTGCATCTCTTGCATGTCACCTGCTGCCTGGCATGTAGTCGGGACATAGTAAGTACTTAGTCAATGTTCAGTGAATGACAATAAGTACATACACTCAGGCAAAGGAACTAAAAAGTGCAGGCACTTCTACCACTACCACTGAAAGTCCCCTTGAGTATCTAGGGAGTGCCATGTGAGGTGGCACAACCTCCCTGCCCAGCGCCCCAATCCCTCCTCACTGGGGAGATGAGCAGGCTGGCTTTGCAGTGGCAGTGTGAGTGGGCATGCAGGGTGGGCTCCACTGGTGGGAGCCCCCAGACACACAGGCTACAACAGTGGCCGGGAGCCTCCAGTTTTGCAATAGGGAACCAGCCTCGCCACCCGCTCTCCATGTTTCCCACTTTAAAGACAGAGGGCTCAAGTCCACTGGAGAAAGGCAGCTCCGCGGGCATCCTGCCCCTGCCCAGAGAGAGGCTGGAGGATGTCTGCAGAGGCATAGCCGGTGCACAGGGGTGGCTTTTCTTGCCCCACATGAGTTGTTGGTTTGATCCTTTAAGCCTTGAGGACTTGAAAGTGGACCAAAGGAGGTGACCTCATGGAGAAAACGCCTAAGGAAAATCCTCTGAGGAGAAGGTAATTTTAGAGAGCTGCTCTCAAACAACTTGGTTTCCTACGAAGAACTGCACTGAGGAAACTTAAATTACAGTGAAGTGAGACAGCACATGAGATTCTTCAGTCATAAACAAGAGCACTCTGTTCCTTTCCCTTCTTTCCCTGGCCCTGAGGACACTCAAGTACAGCAGTTGTGTATTTCTTCACCATTGGCATCTCTGCAGACTCCTTTCCTTGGCTGGGACTTTGCTTCTATTTACCTGGTCTTGTCTCATTGTCATTTAAGTTGTATCAATAGATACAACAAAGACAGAAAATTAAACACTAAATAATAAATGGAAGTGAAGTGTCTCCCTCCACTGAACCAGGTGGAATCTTCTTGGTGGAAAAGGCGGTCAAGGGGCCTCCTGGGGATGGTGGCCACAAGGTGGCACCAAAGCCTTCCCACAGTTGCCTTGGGCTGGCAATTTTGCCCTGAGTTTCTTTGCAGCCAGCCAAGTCCTGGACTATTTCACGTGCAGCCCAGAATACTCTGGGCTTAGTTGTAGGGACAGAAGAGTTGACTCAAGGAAGTCAGGGTGGCCTTGTTCAGACAATCACCCTAAGAGACAATGTCGCAAAGGCTTCCAGGGAGCCAGGATCACTCCCACTGGAGCAGGGCCATCCCAGGGTTCTGAGCAGCTTCGTTTTTTTATGCCATCCTGAGCACCTGGAGGTAACAGTTTTGTCCCAAATAGTGAGTTCTGGGAAGCTGGAAGGGGCTTTTTCACCTTTGCCAAATGTTCTAGTGCTTCTGCCTGCAGCGACACTACCTTGTCCCTAGTACTGCCAAGTTACTAGGCAATCTTTATCACATAGAAACTGGGTGTTATCACAACCCATGTATGCTGACACTGTCGTTTGTGATTGTTTCCATTATCCATTCAGAGAAATTGTGCCATTAAAGTCACTTTGCCACTGTACTTCTATGCCCCCAAATAGAAAAAAAAAAACATTGGCAAAAGTCATAAAAACATAGTTCAGTGTCATCCTTCAGTCTCCTCACCCCTCCCACGCTCATGTTGGTGCTGTAGTCCACTGTTTATGCTGATGTCTCAGTGTTCTCTCATATCTGCATATCTGATCAGTTGTTGCTCCAGAGGATTAAGGAAAGTGGAATCTGACAGGAGAGGAAGGCTTAGGGGGCCAGGCCAGGCCCAGGCAGCAATATGGCCTGGAGTGAAGAAGGAGAAGGCCACTGGTCAGACTGTTGCTGTCCTGAAGTTCTGAGCTGGGTGTCACTGGCCCGAGCGGCTCCTTTTCTCAGGGTGTGGGAGCTTCATGGGAACTCTCCATGGTCGGCATCATAGCCTCAGCTCTCTCTCTCTCTCTCTCTCTCTCTCTCTCTCTCTCTCTCTCTGTCTCTGTCTCCTGTCTGTGCTAGGCACTAAATCCAGGGCCTCATGTGTACCAGGTAAGTATTCTACCACTGAGATACATCCTCAGACCTCCATACTTGATCTTGTTTGTCCTTAAAACTCTCTTCAGGAATTCTGTGTCTACCCAGGTGCCCCTTAGTTGATGGCTTGGAGTATTTGTTCATTTACAGATAGTAGAGGGATGGGAGGATACCTGAACTCCTTCTGATTTCCTTGGAGATGAAAATATATGCCCTCAAGGGTCTTCACAACAAAAGCAAACACCTGGACCAATGCTCCACTTTGATGTCACCCTGTTCTTCAGGCCTTGGAGCTCAAGGGCCCCCAGAACTAAAACCCAATTTGTTCTGTAGCACCAAGTGGAAACACTGAAATGACACCCCGAATTTTGAGGAAGATTTATTTATGTGGACAGGCAATTATCAAGATCATTCTCAGAATACTAGGCCCTGATCTCTGGTGGTCTAGGGCTTTTATATGATGCACAAGTGGGAGGTACAAAGGTGAGACAACACAGCCTGGCAGTTCTTCTAATTAGCTTTCAGGGCAACATCATCGGTTACAAGGGAAGATTAATGATCATAAATTCATGAAGCTTGGCACAGTGGTACAATCAGGCATCCTGCATGTTGGTTACGCGCTCATGACCACAGGGGTCCAGGAAGTAATTACACAGTCATGAAGCAGTTACAGAGCTAGGCAGTTTCAAAAGAACATTTTAAAAATAACAATTTCTCATGTACAGTTTTTCCCTTTCAGTCTACCGCATGTCCTTGCTGCAACTGTCACAGAAGGCTGACAGCCTGCCCCCATGGTCTCTCTGTTCATTCTAAACCATCTAGATGACCCAGAATGACTCCTGTAGTGTTTGCCAGTCAGTTAGGCCAAACTGGCCTATCAGATGTTTCCATCTGCTCTTTAAAGCAGACTTCTTTAAAGGTGCTGCTTAGTAAAGTATAGGGCAAAGCAGCACCCTCTGCAGGAGCTTGAGAGAGTGTCAAATAAAGGATGTGATGTGAACTGGACCAGAGCCCTTACTAGCCCAGCCCTCGAGGCAATGCTGGGGTGGGGGATGCAAGGCGGAGAGTCTGAGTTCCAATAAGTGACATACCTGAGACTTCCTATATCATAGTACCCATTCATGACAGGAATAACTTAGGCATTGGGTGCAAAGGCTTTGAATTGAAAAAATTAATGAGCACATAGAGCAGCCCAGCATCTATTATATGGATAACACTCCAAGAGTTAGAATCACTGGTGGGCGTCAAGGGTCCTCCTGCATGTGGAACATGCCAGCAGCACAGCCTGGGATGGAAGCCACGTCCATGTGAAATGCATGCTTGTGGCTACTTCTCCACAGAGGCGCTGCTAGAGGTGCTGTGGACTGCGGCACAGGCATGCCTGCATGTGCTCTTGGAGGGTTTTTCCTTCCTTCTTCCCTCTTATTTTTTAAAGTTATTTATTATTTTATTTCACTATGCAGCTCAGACTCATAATGATCCTCCTGTTTCAGCCTCCCCAGCACTAGAGTTGCAGGCCTGTGCTACCATGCCTGGTCTTGGTGTGCCTGAGGTGGGGCCTGCGCAGTATGCGGTACTGAGGATTGAAAACAGGTCCCTGTGCTTGCCAGGCAGATGCTTAGACTGCTGAGCTATCTCCCTGGCCCCTTCTCCCTTATTTTGAAGGGATCACTTGTCATCCCTTCTTCTGAATGGTATCTTTCACATTTTTGGGGTCCCTCAGCTTGGGAGAGCAGGTATCAATGGGTCTGAGGCTGCTGAGCACAAGGCTGGGTGCTGATGAAACCTAGAGGGGCATGGGAGTGCTCCAAGGGGATATCTGGGGAGCATGTGAACTGAAGCCATCACTTGGAGGTATCCACCCATTTTGACCTGACTGACCGGTGTACTGGGCTACATCCCCAGCCCTTTGTATTTTTTCTGGAATAGGGTCTCACACTAAGTTGCCCAGTCAGGACATGAACTTTTATCCTCTTGCCTCAGGCCCTTGCAGTGCTGGGATTATAGGTTTGTGTGTCTAATGCCTCTTTAATATTTGTTACTTCTGTGCTAACTTCTCCATTCGCTGGAGGCTATGTCATCATCGCTGAGCTATCTGTTTCTCTTCTAATGTGAGCATGCTGCTTTTCAGCATTGGCTATTGACTCTGAATTACATTTCCAGGCAGGAGGTGGGGTGCTCTTGACTTTCTAAGAATCAGCTCTTCAGAAAGACAACCTGTGCTGTCCTGAGCCATGGGGCTCTATTCTCACTGGCTCCACCAGAGTGGCCCATCTTCTTGGTGTTACACACAAGCAGAAGTGGGTGAAGACTCAGATTTTTGTAGTTGACCCCAGCTGGACTCATCACTCTCAGATAATGGTCTAGCTCACTACTGACCTGATACCTTCCTTGGGTCAAATCTCTCCTTATCCACCTGTTTTTGTGAATAAAGTTTTATTGCAACTCAGTCATACTCATTTCTTTGCATTTTATTGTTTGTGCTACATTGGCAGCAGTTGCAATAGAGACTGACAAAGTTTAAAACATGACAACATTTAAGATGTTATATAGCCCTTTCCAGGAAAAGACTTCTACTCCAAGACCAGAATGTGAAAAGACCATATTTTCACTGGAGAAGAATATTGTAATTCTAAGTCTTGGGAAGTCCAGGATGTGGGATGGAGGATCTAAGGCTCTCATTACAAGGACAGCAGACCTGAGGCTGCTGGGAGGCCCGGGGGGTGGGGGGAAGGACTCTGGGGCTGTGTCTGAGCTGGTGTGGGCCCTTCCTGAGAGATGAAAACCGGGCCATGAGTAATTTAGACAGGGAGCACCTTGCTGGGAAAAGAACAGTGCAGATCCATGTTCTTCCCCGTGGAAAAACAGCATCCAGGGACCGCGTGGCATCGGCCCTGATGCCAGCATCTGACATGGCTAATGATGGAGCTGTAAACATACTACTGGGGGATTTCAATGCCACTCACGTGTGACCGAAGCCGACAAATGACAGGGAGGGGCAAGGCAAGGCGGAAGCTCCAGCTTTACTTAAGGCTCCTGTGTGCTCAGGGCAGGTGAGCAGTGCCCCAGTGTTCATTCAGGAGAGCATTTTGTGTGGTTTCCCATTTTTGGGAAAGGAGACATTTGTTCATTTGTGCAATTAAAATGCTAGCTAAAATGTTCCAAGTCATTTCAAAGTGAAAACCACAGGACGTGTGGCTGTGCACATTCACTGGAAAAAGCAGTCTAAAATGTGGTCCTTATCATTTATTTACAGAGATATATGTAGCCCTTCGATTGTGCTTTCCAAAGATACAGACTCTTAGGCTTGTCTATCCCCGATGCCTAATATTGTCTTCTGTAACTCCAAAGAATGAATCCTCCTCAGTGACCCGAGTCAGTCCAGAGGGTGGAGTTGTCCTCTGTAGCTCTTCATTGACTATAGGAATATATTGTTGAAAGATGTATACGAATTTAAGTTTTGGAACTCATCCTATTTTACATGCACCAGGAATATGTTACTCATGCTAAATCTTTACAAAGATTTTGCATAAATTCACTTTTGCAGAAATCTAGATTTTCAGATATTGATGGATTCAAAGTAAGGTGCTCCGCAGGCCAATGTATTCTGACAGCTTTCTTAGCACCTGGCTTGTCCACTATAAGGATGACTTGAAAATTCCTGGAGCCACTGTTCCCTAGGAGTGTAAATATGAGTCCCTAGAGAACCCTGGGGGGAGAAATGCCGTCATTGTGCGATACTCCTTCAAACAAGTTATTGAGTATCTTTCCCACATTTTGGCTTTAATTACTTTTCTTTCACAGTATGAAAAATTGCCAAGTCAGCTCTGGCTGACTAGGTTTTCTTTTTATTTCAAATAATTATAGGACACTAAACCATGTCTCAGGATGAGTATTCAAAAATATATTTTCTGACTTAAATTTGTTGAGAATTTCTTTGCATAAAACTGTCAGCATTTTCACTGAGTCCCTAGAAACACACCATCTCTCAGTGAAGAGTGGCAGCTCAGCAGATGTGCACATGGTCCCCCTGAAATAGGCAATGAGGCTCCAGACAGCCCTGGCATCGAGGACCAAGTGCACTGGTGTGTCCAGAGGGCCTGAGCCTCTGGGTGTGAATGTGTTCATACAGCACGTGTTCAGATGTAGAACTCCTCCACATCATTGCCCCCATGATCAGCTGATGCTGGGGGTAGTGGCACATCGTGGCCAGTCTGTGTGGCTTTGGGAGCATCACAAGGGACTTCTGGGGATGACTCTGTGAGGGAGGAGGCCCTAGGAGCCAGGGGAGCAGGAGCAGTGAGAGCCGCCACCAAAGAGCTGGAAGATCCTTTGGTTAAGAAAGGTAGAGAAACCCAGGGAGCCTCAGTGGTCACCCCACTGCCAGTGGGCAGCGGTCCTTCTCTGGGGCCCTTGTGTGATGACCAGAGGCTGATATATCCTTCAGGGTAGTGGTTCTTCTCTCCTGTGCCATAGAACCGACTGGGTGCAGAATACGCAGAGACCACAGACAGGTCTGAGGAGGACAGCCGCAAGCCTGTGTCCACATCGGTCTCCTGGGCCCCTTCCAAGTCATCAATGCAGAGGAGGTGGCCATGCCTAGGTTCAGATCCCGTTTGGCCTGTGCGACCTGTGTTTGAAGACCACTGTGGTTCACTGCAGGAGGCGGGGGTGGGGCCCACTGTGGGCAAACAAAATAAGGACTTGCTTCTGGGGAAAGACCAGGGCGGACTTGGGGTGCTGCTGGCTTGTCTGGCACACTCTTGCTGGTGTCCGGCAGGCAAGTCCAGCTGGCTGGGGCCCAGGAACAGGCTGTCACTCAGCGTGGGCTGGCTGCTGCCCGGTGTGGGGCTTAATGCGGTGGCACTCGGTGAAAGGGCAGAGTGAGACTGCTCCTCAGAGGAGCGGTGCGTCCTGCTGGGATTGGGAAACCTCTTGTGCACCCTCTGTGCCTGCAGGGAGAGAGAACATGCCTTGTTAGTCAGCTCAGGGGCTTACTGGTAAATGCATTATGAAGCACACTGTTCATTGTTGGAAACTTCTAGCAAGGACTCAGAAACAAAACAATATGAGACATTTTGCTGTTTAAACTCCAGGGCAAAGACAGCAGTGGCAGCGATTGGAGCAGCCTGGGGTGGACCTGTCTATCTGAGGAGGCACCTAGGACCTTATCTAGGAGGAGACAGAACTAGCTCCTTTTCATGGCAGGGAGTAACACTGCTGAAAGTACATGAGAAACGAGCACAAAGAGTACAGGTCTAGTTGAGCACGCTGATGCAGACAAGACTCACAGCCATGAATGGCAAAAAGAACGTGAGAGCCACGCTTCCTCCAACCAAAACATCAGCAAGGCTCCTCCTGCAGACACTGTCTGGAAGTGTTGGGAGGAGGATGCAGGGGATCAGGACTGACTTGGGACTGCATTCCCACACTCAAGTGACCCCAGGGACACTGTGCTGGGGTGGCCCATGGTTCAGGCAGGATACCTTCCACAAATGAGGCACTCTTAGAAGATTAGCAGTCTCCCATCTTTCAGGAATTGCATAGAGCAAAGAGATTACTGACTGAAGACGAACACTGAGGGTCCTCAGGAGGGTGCATAGCGTCACCCTGTGACATCACACCTGTCCTCCCCAGCCAGTATGGCCCCCCTCCAGGAACTTGCTTCTGCTGCACAGGACTGAGCACGTGTCTTCCAAGTGCATTTCTACCTGCTCTGCTTTCTCTTAATTCTCCCTATAGCACAAGACTACAAGCCAACCTCTTAAAACATGGGTTTGGGGACGATGGATCTGGTTTTATTTAATAGAGGGCCGTGTGACTTATGAGTCTCTCTAATAACATTAGAGCTCCAACTGTGGTTTACTAGAAGGGATATTTCCTTTTAGGAAACACGCAGCAGGCTGAGACACTGCTTTCAGAAGGAACACTCCCCCTTGTCAAACTGAAATCTGGTTTTCCCATGGCTTCGTATTTACTGAAGATTTATTATGGGTAAAGGAGGAGAAAGTACAGTGAGACTCTGCTTTTGGCCATGTAAAATTGAACCTTCACTGAAAGGATCAAAAAATTACTAAGGCCAGAGTGTGATGATGGGCAATGCAGAGGGCACCAAGGAAGGGATCATGCCGCCCGGAAGGGCAGGCTTCAAGGCAGAGGACCCTAGGGTGGGTGAGCCTTGGAGGATGGGCACTTGTGCTCTTGAGGGATGGCAGGAGTGAGGGTGTGCGCTGGAGAGGAGGGCCTGAGAGGGCCCAGAAGTTTGGTCTTATTGGAGAAGCAGGGATGGAAGGTCAAGTTGAAATGAAGTCTAGAGCCATGCTGGTTAAGAAGGCCTTTACTTGGTTTAGAAATCCACCAACTTAGCCTTCTTCTGTTGTCCTATTCAGTCTTACTTGTCCTTTGTGACTATAATTTCTAAGATCCTTATTTGCCTAATTTGAGAAATCTCTCTCTCTCTCTCTCTCTCTCTCTCTCTCTCTCTCTCTCTCTTTTTCTTTCTTTCTTTTTTCTTTTCTTTTTTTTTTTTTTTTTGCACAACCAAGGATTGAACTCAGGCCCTTGCACTTGCCAGGGAAGTGTTTTTCTACTGAGCCATCTACCCAGCCAGAAATCTAATACTAGAGACGAACTAATTGACTTGTTCTTTCGGCCAACTATAAGTGAGAGTGTGTTTGGGCTTTGCATGGTGATTAAGAATGAGACGAGACATTGATCTCCTTCACAAGTAGCCCTGTGTCCCATATATATGTCACCATGAGAGTTTTCTATATGTTCTTCAATGTGGAAAATGTCCAGAGAATCAGAGATAGTTAATTTTTGTGAGACATGATCTTAAGTCCCAAGAATGAACAACACAACATTCAAATATAACAAAATCAAGGTTGAAGTCTGTCTAGGGCATGGTGGGGCACAGAGGAATGGTGGTCAATTTAGTGGAAGAGGAGGTAGCATGGGGAAGAAGTGCTTGCCTTGGAAATCATGCTGGACAAAGTCTTGGAGGCTGACAAGCCGTGCACTGGCTGGAGGGCAGTGTGTGAGTGCAGAAAGGGCATCTTCATGGGCTGGATAAAACTGTTGCCCAAAGGCCAGCTGTTGGGATCTGGGAAAGTGATGGGATCAGGAGAACATGAAATTCAGCAGTGGATTAATTCATTCATTAGTTCACAGCCCAATGGACTATTAGGAGGTGAAGCCTTGGCAGTGGGTCACAGAGGTGTGACTTGGGGACTGTATCTTGTCCCTGCAGCTCCCCCACTTTCGGTCTTCCCTCAGGTGAGCAGCTCTTCTTTGGCACACTCTTCTCTGGCCATGATGTTCTCTCTCACCCAGGCCCAGGCCCAGATAATCAAGCCTCTCAGCCACGGACTAAACTTCTGAACTCATAGCCCAGGTCAGCCTTTCCTCTGTTAAGTTGTTTTTCTCAGGTATTTTGCAGAGTAACATAAGCTAACTAATACAGGTGTTCTAGCAGAGAAGTTGTCTGAACAGAGGCTGAGGCCCAAATGGCAGCTCCCAGCTGAGTGGAAAGTGGGTTGGATGGAGGCAGGAGGCCTTTTAGGAGATATCACAGCAATCTTTCATTTCTTAAGAATTGGAGCAAATGAGCCACATATGCAGCTGCTCATACAAGATTCTTTTTAAAAAGTTTTTATTTAGTTATTTGATACAGGGTCTTATATGCAGCTCAGACTTCTAGTGACTCTCCTGCATCAGGCTCCCCAGCACTGGGACTACAGGCATGTACCACCACACCTGGTCTCAGGGGCTGGCACGGTACCCCTGATGTTCCAGGGCTTATGTGGCATGCAGTACCAGGGACTGAACCCAGGTCCTTGCTCTTGCCAGGCAGGCACTTAGACCACTGGACTATTTCCCCACCCCAAGATTCTTCTTAATCATGGATTCAGGTGTTGAGAATTTTCCAAGAGTTCTCTCTGGCTGGTTTTAAGGAATTTCCTCAAACTATGTGAAAGTCTGAATTATGGGTCCATAAAAAATATAAAGCAAAAAGGTGTTAGTCCTGGTGGTAACTTGGCAAGGTGTGGCTCTTCCCAAGCTCACGTGACATGGGCCTGTGTCACCATGCAACCTCAGTTGAAGCAGCTCCAGACTATGTTGGCACTGGATTTTGCTAAATAAGAAGTGGGAAGATTCTGCACAGAGATGGCTGTTCTTTGTGCATGACCTAAACACCAGGGTTTGTTGCAGGGCATTCAACTATCCCCTGGACTCCCACCCTATCGCACCCCTGGGACTGCCCTGATCTGCTCTGGTTAAGGCTCTGTGGTTCTCTGCAGGGCTCTGTTCTCTTATGAGAGAGATCCTTCTTGGCACATATTACCTACTCCTGATCCATAAGCATGGAGGCAGAATCAACATTTGTGATCCTGAGGCAATAGCCTCGGAAGGCACAGGTGTGCCTGAGAGGTGTCACAGTAGGGTGAAAACACACCAATTTTTGCCATCATTTGAGCTTGTCTGTGGAGCAGAGAAAAGGAGGCATGGGCATGCAGCTGTTGGGAGGACACAGTCAGAGGTGGAGGCTGCTTCTGGGGTGCAGAGAAAGCCATGTTCATTATTTACTTTTTCCTGAGGCCAATTTCCCTGGGTTCTCTAGTGCCTTTTCTCATCAATCAGCACCACATATGCCACTTGGTTCCTCTGCATGAATAAAGGAAGCCTTCCTAGGTTCTGCTTCAAGAAATGCAGAAGGTTCAAGTTCCCAGGAAAAGAATGCTAGGGGTCATCTAAATTTCTTCACTGACAGGGAACAGGGTAGTGTTAAGTTTGGCTTAAGATGAGGCACACCTGGCGAAAGATGAATACTTCCTGGTTTAACAAAGACTTAAATGACTGCGATCACTTCACAGAAACATATGTAAATGCTGTCTAATTTTTACTGCATGATGAAGGCAGGAGTCCAGAGCAACCCTTTATTTTGTTGCTTTGAAGAAAGGTGGCACCTGGTCTTTTTCACTGAGGGGTGCCCACATACCAATGGAAGTGCCTGCTGGGTGGGCGGAACTGGGGTTGGCCTGTGTTGTGAATAACTGCAGGCATCCTGGCGTGGCAGCTGGAGGCAGGAGGCTGCAGGGTCTCCTTTCCCCATCCCATGTCAGCCTATACCTCATGTGCAGGACCTGCCTGAAGCAGAGCTGGTAGTGTTCTCTGGCTCTGCCCAGTGGTAGAAGAATCAGCTAGCTTCTAGAAGCAGGAGCTTATTTAACTAAGGAGGACTATGTGTACAAAGAACTGTGCTCCTTTATGTGTTGTTCCCCTGCTGTGGTGCTATTTCTATTTCCTGCCTCTTTTGTCGGCTTGGTCAGGAACACTAGAGGTTGAGAGTGAGTCATGGGAGATATGTCCACAGGTTCTCTGCCAGTGGGTCCTACATGGTGAGACTAGAAAGCTTCACCTTTGTTGTAGGCTTTCAGCCCTTTGGGTTCCCTTCCCGAGGGATAGCAGGTAGCATGAGGCTATAGGATCAGCTTCCTTTCTTCTCTGTGAAGAATTATAGGCTAGATGCTTCCCTGGAATCCAGAAGTTTCTTTTGTTGCTATTTAAGGAACTTTCTCGAAGGAACAGGCTAGCACTACATAAATTAATTTGTTTAGGGCAACCAGCCATGGAGTTCTGGTTATGTTCAAGTCACTGGAAAACTGGAATTCATAAATGACTCACTGAACCAAAGTATCTTTTCTCAAAGGTCTGGGAGTCAAGAGGCTCATTCTCTGGCATTATGGGTCTAAAATTTTCCTCTTAAATTGCTGGTAAAGATGGTTCTGCCCCTCTTCCAGCAATCTGACAATCTCTTGTTTGGGATCAGAGACTTTCCTCTCAGCTTCACCCCTCTTTTGAATGAAGTTGTGTTTTCTGCATAGTCCTAGGCAGAAACATGACCAGTGTGGCACTCCAGCTCTCTAATAAAACAGTGATGGATTTCTTTAAC